TCTGTGACATGATTAACTGATTTTTTTTTTCAGATATCTAGTTGTTGTTCATGGAACTGTCATTTCTAGTGTTTCGCTTGTTGATCTTTGTTGGTTTGATTCGTCGATGTCATTATTGGTATATCATTTTCAATATCACTATTGGTAAGCTAGAATTAGTTTTATTGTGTATCATGTTAGTTGGTTACAATTATTTGATATGTGTGATTTTGATGGTTAGGGTAGGGTGAGATTAGTTAATGGTTAGGGTTAGATAGGATTAGTTAGTTAGTGGTTAGGGTTAGTAGGGTTAGTTGGTGGTTAGGTTAGGTAATAAAAATTCATACAATACAATAAATTTAAATATACTTATGCTTTGATTAGCTGATTATGTATCATGTGACCTGTGACAAAAATATTATGTAACAGGGTGCAACAAATAAATTTATCCAAAGGTTATATAAAAAAAAATTTTTTTATATAACCTTTAATCTGAATTTTCATTTAATAAAAAGTACAAAAAACCAAAATTAGCAAGATATAAAATATATAAAATTATGTGCTAAACAAATTTGCTTAAAAGGTCAGAACAGATTACCTAAGTAAGAAAAAAGTTTTATATAGAAAACCTAAAATTTTGATATTTGTATATAACAAACTTTTTATTTTATTTAAGATAATCTATCTTTATTTTCTAACTAAGTTTGTTCAGCATAAAATTTTATATATAGTCATTATTTTAAAATTAAAAAAAGTTTTTTTTTACAAAATTTTATTAAAGAAATCTACAATTTTTATAAAATTTTAAAAAAGTATTCTAAATAATCTTAATCTACTATTTTTAATATGCTTAATTTCAAAATTTAAAAATAAATTAATTTGTAAATTGAAAATAGTGTTCCGCATGATTCAGACTAAGTAGATATTTTTAAAGATCTTTACCTAGTCTAAATATTGATTCAGATCTAAAGTTAGAGTCCGAACTCATATCACTTAAATCTGAGTCCAGTCTGGATCTGTGAAATTTCAAAATTTATAGATACTATAGTTGACAAAGCCCTAGTATCTTGTTAAAAAAAAAAAAAAAAAAAAACAATTACAGCTATTTTTATAAATTCTGAAACACTTGATAACAATTAGCTGAATAATTTTCGTTAACCAGTAGTAAAACTACAGAAAAGTTGTAAAAATTTAAAAATTTTTATAAATAAATAAATACTGTAAAAAATATATTTAAATATATTTAAACTAATAAATAAATAAATTATATATTTACGAATTAAATTAGTAAATATGGGATCTTTGCTAGAAAAATGACCCTCTGAGGCAATATAGATTTTGGGAATAAAAATTAAATATGCTGGTCATTTAGTTATCCAATTCAAATAATCTTTTTTTATTTTGTAGAGCTCATTTAGCTCCATAAAATAAATTTTTATTTACAAGCTGCAGAGGGTCATTTTCCTAGCAAATATTTATGAAACAGCTGTAAAAAAAAAAGAAAATTCTGAAATCAGTCAATCAGCAATCAGTATTATTCTAATAGGACCAGACCGGGTATTACTCAGACAGATCTTCTTGTGGGTCCAACCCTATATTGATTTTGATAAATCAAGAGTCTGAACTCAGTCTGTCAACAGACCAGACCGGACCCAGACCAGACTCAAATCTTTTGCGGAATACTAGTTGAAAATAATATGAAGCTTAAAGTTTATAGTAAATTTATATATTTTTATTATCTCTTAAACTGTAGACTTTTCTAGACAAATTTGTCTAGAAAATTATTATAAATATGGTTATGATCTACTTTTTTAAATTTTAATATATTTAAATAAAATTTTTTTTGATAATATTTGAAAATAAAGATTATATT